TAAGAGGATGGAGGGAGGGAGGAAGGGGAGTGTGTATAGTGTGTGTGTGGTGGTGGGGGGTGGGGTCATGGGGGCCTAGAGAGGGACCAGACTGCCCACGGCACTGGTCTGAAGTCAGCTTCTTGCGAGTAAGGATTTCCTGTGCTGAGTCCATCACTGCTGCCACGGTTAAAAGCATGGAGGAGTTTTATTTTACACCCTCTTGTAAAGTATTTAGATATCAGATAAAAGTCTGGTCTGGTTGAGTAAAAACATAGAATTTATGCTGCAGCAAATCAGCATTGAAACTTTAAACAGTTGTAATAGTGTTTTGAGAAAAAAAAAGTCAAAATTTAAAAAAATCTGTCTTTGGACTCTTGTATTTTTATTATTATTGGCACAGTTAAAGAAAGTAAACGTTAACGCCTGGAGGAAATTAGGTTTGTGTTATACATCAAGAGCATTTAAAAAAACATTTTTACTATTTAAACTATTCATTTAAAAGATCTTAACCGATGGAAGGCATTTAAAAAAAGTCAAATCGCCAAAAACTTCCATTTGAATGTGTGCAGAACGTCCAGGTCGTGAGGTCACACTGCAGGTTGCTGCTAAAGACGACCGAAGGTCTAGACATGAAAAAGAAGCCACATAAGCAAACAAACATCCATCCTTCCACTTTCTGAACCTGCTTGTCCATGTGGGGTTTGTGTGTGTGTGTGTGTGTGGGGGGGGGGGTGCTGGTGCCTATCTCCAGCGGTCAATGGGCAATCAGGTGGGGTACACCCTGGACAGAGAGCCAGTCCATCGCAGGGCAACACAAAGACACACAGGACAAACAATCATGCGCACACACCTAAGGACAATTTAGACAGACCAATCAACCTAACAGTCATGTTTTTGGACTGTGGGAGGAAGCCGGAGTACCCGGAGAGAACCCACGCATGCACAGGGAGAACATGCAAACTCCATGCAGAAAGATCCCAGGCCGGGAAGCGAACCCAGGACCTTCTTGCTGCAAGGCAACAGCTCTAACCACTGCGCCACTGCGCAGCCGCAACCCAACATATAGAAATTAAACAACTTAAAACTAAAGAACAAAATGGAAAAAAAATAACATTTTGTGTTTGAGATTGTCCTTTCCGGGCCTCCGTAGCAGGACTTTAATGAGGGAATGACTCTGATTCGAACACCTTACTCTATAAGGTAAATCTAGTTTTATCAGACAACCATGAATGTTATGTTTATTTAAAAGCAGCAGTTCTTAAATACATAAAATATCCTTAATTCTAAAATTTTATTCTAATTAAGTTTAAATTAATCTTCAATGGTGATAAACAAATTAAATTGTCCTGTTTTTGCATTTGTTTTATACCCCAGTTATTTGTTTGTTTTGGTGTGGTGTTCCATTTTAAAAGAAGTTCCACTTGCAAGTGTTGTTAGACAGCAGCAGGATGCACCGCTGCAGAAGTGGAATGCAGCCCTTCTTCTTTCTCAAGTGTAAATGTTTAGTGAAATAGGTCCGTGGCTCCAGCTGAGATCTGAACCAGAGACCTGCTGAATGCTGTCACCACGGAGAAGCCGTTACTTCAAGATAAAACACTTCCATAATCAGAAATCAAACGGACCGAACCGAAGCAGCGAATCCTGAAGAGGAGGAGCTTTAGCAGCAGGTGTGGCGCGTTTAGAGAAGGCAGCGCAGCATCTGCTGGAGGCTCGATGGATTTTTTACTAAACAGATACTTTTACATTAGGGCGGTAAAACAACATCTAATATTTTCTAACAAATTTTAAAGTGAATCTCCAATCAAGCTTAATCACCAGCTGGACCAAGAAGCTCCGTTCTGTTAAAAAGTGGAGCTGATTAAACTAAACTTCTGATCATATTTCAGGTATTTTACCTTATATTAATTGATGAATGCTATAATGAAATCAAAAGTTTGCTTTGTGTGTAAAAGGTGAAAAAAACAGCTGACATTCCAGCCAGTTAAAGTCGTGATAAAACCCTTTTTCTGAGTTCATAAAGCTACGTGAACGTCAGACAGATTCAACTGGGATTAGCTTCTGCTGCAGTGAAGCCAAAGTCAAATCAAACGTTTGGCCCAAAATCAGATCATTGTGCTGATGTCTTGCTTTTATTTTTTATGTCTACTATAGATGAGTGGTTCTCAGAGCTGGGGTCAGGACCTCACTGCGTCACTTCTGATGCGTCTCGTGATGAATTCCAGGAATCGAATTAAAAACAATTGCTGAAGCTACTTTTTTTACATAGTTGTTACAAAAACCCGACTAAAGTGTGATAAATGTCTACAAGTGAACACGGGCAGAGCTTTCTTTGCGCCCTGAGTATTTTGAAAGATTTGTGGTCACATGACTTGACAGGTACCATTCTGACGGTCTGAGGCTGACACACTGTTATAGATTTCTCATTTTTGTTTTAAATTTCAGATGGACTGATTCTGGCTATAAGGGACCGTGCCGATGTCCATGGAGGGCAACTCTGAACTGCCTTTTTTTCCTCCACCTGAACCAACCCTCATGCAACCCCTCTGATCTCTATTAAGGTAGCGCAACTCAGGGTTGTGAATGACCACAGTCACCAATTCTCATGGACGTAATTTTTTTTGGGGGGGGGACATGTCAAGTTTTGACCCCTGCACTTTTTACCATCCAAAAACATTATTACTTTATATTAAATTGACACTGGTTGAGCTCTAGGACCAAGCGGAAAACAACCGTTTGTGTTGAAGCCTGTTTCCCATTAGAACATACTGTAAAGATCCCCCCCGTGTCCCCCCCCCCCCCCACCCCCCCACCCCACTTCTAAAGTGAAAATTACGTCCATGCCAATTCTTGTCATGTGTCTTGCCCATGTATGTCTGATCTCTGAATTGTGTGTGAAACTCTAATTTCCCTCTGGGATTAATAAAGTATCTTTGAATTGAATTGAATTTTCTGTCCAGCTCTGACCTGGCAACATTAACTTTGGCTGATTCCAATTTACTCAGCGAGGGTTTCGAGGTTTTTCAGATTCTCTAGAAAATGACGGTTTTAGAAGGAAGAACGTCCACACGGGGGGTCCGTCGCTGCTGGTGTGAATGAGCATTTAGCACTTTTGTGTTTGCAGAGCTGGGGAAATGGGTTTCTTATTGTTGCTGCTGCAGAGCTGCGCTCCGGAACGTACAGGAAGAAAACCCGCCTTTTCAGATGAGGAGGTTCTAATCACAAGATGCTTTCTATTTTAAACTGACAAAACTCAGCCACCAAACCAGATGTTCAAGGTGTTGTAAGAGAAAATTTATTACCAGTGCTATTTACATAGAAATCATACAGCCTCACCCCAACCCCCCACCCTAACCCCACACGCACACACACACACACACACACACACACACACACACACACACACACACACACACACACACACACACACACACACACACACACGCACACACACACGCGCACACACACACTCGTCCGTATCCCAGCACATTTGGGTACGCTGAAGATAAGACACATTCTTTCTAGATTTTATAAAATGTTCAAAGGAAAGACAAACGATCTCAAAGCAAGATTTCAAGTAGAGCTAAGTTGGTGTGAGATGTGCTTTGTGTGACGAGACGGCGCCAAAAGAAATGCTGAAAATAAGACTTCATTTGATGCTGAGTTTAAAAAACAAAACAAAACAGAAGCCTCGATGAAGCTTGACCCCGACTCATTTCAGAAAATGGAAAATTCAGCCGGACTCTGCTTGGTTTTGGTTCATGTGTGGAAAAGTGGCCACTAGATGGCAGCGAGTGCTTCAGAGCAGACAGCCGTAATGTCACAGATGTTGTCTGCCCCCTCTTTTGTTTTCTGCCTTTAGAGGAAGGAGACCTCAGCTGCTGAAGGACATTCTCCATTATGGGTTCAATGTTCTTTTGAAAATCATTTCCATTAAAACATGTTTTTTTAAAAGGGACAGTAACAAAAGGAAGGTCAGGTGAAGCAGTGAGCGGAGCAGAACTATCAGGGCCGCCTCGATGGGTGTGAGGCGTGTGTGTGTGTGCGGGTGTGTGTGTGTGCGTGGGAGGGTACAAGTGTCTGTATAATTGTGTTCGTGTTTTGAATAATAGTGTAGACATCCTTCTTTCAAGCTATGATCAAGAACACTTTTTGTGCATTAAGGGACTCGGAGCGGGGATGTGTGCGAGGGAAAGTCAGCGCGTGTCTGTCAAGCAGCCACCTTTGATTTGACATATTTTCTTACGTGAGACAATGTTTAAAACCAGATTAAAAACACACCCCCTGGAATGCAACAGATGTGAGAATATTAAAGCAGGTGGATCAACCATAACAGAACCAAGACTAATATTGCTTTGAAGCAATGCTGTTGAACACATGGTGGGAAAAAGACTTGTCCCCTTTGGTTCACTAATGTCTTCTAGAGCCTCTGACGATGCCTTTAGCATTAAGGGGAAGGCGACTGGATGGAGTAACTTTGTCCTGCAGCATTTTTCCTGCAAGCTTTCCCATTCTGGATTCTGTTGGTGAAAACTAGTCCGTAATCTTAAAAGGTTCTCTGTAAAAATCTTAACTTCTCGTCTCTAGATGTTTGTTTTGTTTTGATTCAAATCCTGAATTAGGTAGGCAGACATTCAGCCCAGGGACGGGTGGTCCCTGTGTTTTGTCCTTTTACCAGGCGGTGGTTTCTCCCATCTCCTGGCCCTGGTGGGACATCGGGGCGCTGTAGCTGGAGTTACTGGCCAAGGAGAAAGGAGGACTAGGTCCACCCCCGTATGCGTCTCCGGGGACTGGCTGGAGAGAGCTCGGTAAGCCCGGCTCAGGGCTAGGGGTTTCCGCATGAGAGATCATGTCCGTGTACCTTTGGTCGTCTGACGGGTGATGACCCGACCCCTCTATGGCTCCGGGTCCGGAGCCTAGCATGTAGGGGGACTCGGCTGGAGACTGGGCCTGTGAGGATGGAGGGCCATGCGGGAAGAAGTCGTAGTTAGTCCCTGGTCCGTAATAGTCACCTTGGTATT